ATCTGCGCTAGGACGAAATTTCGTCGAATCAGCTCTGATTGCATGGACTTGGAGACTCCCTGGGCGGTAGACTCAAAGCAAGACCCCCACTGGCCAAAGCCAGGCAGACCGCACTTCGTCGCACTCCAAGTCCGCCACCAATGAATGACATGCTCGTGCGACGAAACCTTCATCCTGCTCATGTATTGCGTATGTATGTAAACATAACTGCAGAGGAAGGCAGTGAAGAAGATTGAGCGAAACAGAATAGCCTAGACCGTCAAAGACTCAACTCGAAAGCTGTCTTGGCACAGTCCAACCCTGAAACAGAGCTTGGGTATCAAGCCCGAAACCACGCATAAAACATCAAAAACATGACTGGCAAGTCTTGACTTCAGGGCGCCTACGCCCAGAGGCCCCCAGCGCCGGTCATGTCCTCCCTCAATCCTCTCCGAGGTCTAAACCCAAAGGCTGGAATGCCAGCAAATCTCCCTTAGACCTTCAACCAGAATATTGTCACCCCAGCCCGGCCATCTCGATGCAGGTAATCCCCAGGGACCAAATGTCCGCCGTGGCATTGTAAGCCTGTGGAAGAAGGCTTTGGGTTGGGACTTCCCATTGCATAGGTCCACGACTGGCATATCTACCAATTAGAATTGCTTATTCTCTTGCTGTTTCTGCCGCTATTGTTGCTGCTGCTGTGGTCGTTGTTGTGGCTGCAGCTGTCAGTTGTTATTGTAGTTATCGTTCTGATTGTTTGACTGTCACCCTCACTGTCGTTGCCGTTGCTGTTATCGCCGTTACCCTTGAAGTTGCGTTCTTTTGTTTTTGTTGTTGTTGCAATTGCGGTTGCGCTTGTGGTTGCAGTTGCTGTTGCGCTTGCACTTGCTGCTGTTGTTGCTGGTGCTGTTGTCAGTCTTGTTGTTGTTGTTGCTGTTGATGTTTTTGTTGTGCTGTTGGTACAGACAAAAACAGCAGCCAGTAACGTATGTTAAATAGAAACAGCTCGGAATGATTCCAGCGACCGCATAGGGTACCTGTAGAGTTTTGGGGATTGCAAGCTATTTTGGTTTACACAGCAGCTATGATAGAAGTGCAGTGAAGGCTGGATGGTTGTTGTGAAAGGGGGATCAAAACAACAGACGGGGCTCCAGTTGTTGTCTCTAGGAGCAGGTGGAGGCAAAGCCCCCGTTGAAATCAGGACTTTGTCTCTACCTGCTGGTAGATGCAAAAACTGCAGCCCCGTCTGTTGCTTTGACAACCCCCCCAACCGTACAATACCCCACGTTTCCCCAGGTATGGTCTGGGAATTCCAGAAAGGTTGTCTTGAAAGAGTTTGTCTTGGAGTTTTGAAGGGTTTTCATTGTATGTCAAACGGAAGGATTTCTGGTGGGTTGAAGGAGTGGGAATTTAGAGAGAGAGAGAGAGAGAGAGAGAGAGAGAGAGAGAAGGAAAGAGAGAGAGAGAGGGAGACAGAGAGAGAGAGACAGAGAGAGAGAGAGAGAGAGAGAGAGAGAGAGAGAGAGAGAGAGAGAGAGAGAGAGAGAGAGAGAGAGAGAGAGAGAGAGGGGGGGGGGGGGGGGGGGAGGGAGGGAGCATGAGCGATTGTCATGCACCAAATGCTATCAGCGATGGTGCTACATGCACGGGTTGAGGCTACCAGCCATCATAAGGACTACTTCGGACCTCAGGAGAACCCAGCAATACAAGGGGTGTGACATGGTATGGGAGGCTTGCAAGCCTGTGGAGCGAGCTATCAGCACGCAAGCCCTGTCGCTGCCAAGTCGGCTGATGTGAACTGCATGTCAGGCATCCTACATGCTAGCGAAGACGACAGCCAGCAACCCCGAAGCAAACGAAAACAAGCCCGGGAACCCCAAACACAACAAATCCCCCACATCACAGCAAAATAGCCTGTCTCAAACCCTGCTTGCCTCCCCTTTGATAACCTCGGGGGCCATCCAGTAAGGCCTCTGCTGAGCTGCATCTAAAGTCTTCAAACCTTTATCTGTAGGAAGGAGATGCTCGCGAAACTGAGAGTACCAAGTGTAAACATACGGGCGTTCACAATAATAAGACCAAGCTACACATGCACATATTTCTATATTAATAGATCTATATGCGGGGCTTTTCGTAATATTAGTGGTGCCTCATGTAGGGTAATTGCAGTAAGGATGTCCATTATGTCTTGATCCATCTCTGGTTCTCGGCAGCAAAGAAGACCCAAGCAGATCAAGGAGGTCCTGATTTTCGGGAGTGGCAGCGGCAGATCACCATCCAGCAGTATGCAACCAGCATCAACTACTCCTGGCAGCGCAAGAAGGATGCCAGCATGAACTGCCGGTGCAGTTCGGAGCAGTTCTGCAGCTCAGCGCGGAGGATAAGCCCGCCAGAAGCCGAACTTGTTGCCGCAAGCATTGACATAGGGTCAGGCGAAATACTTTGCCAGTAATTCTTATATCCATGTTTCAGGCTCCTGCTTTTGACATTGGACCTCCAAACTCAGAAAGCAGGGCTCCGGATTGTAACCCCAATGCACCCGGCTCACAGCAACACCGAACCCTGTGCCGGGTCGCCGCACGAGCCAATCTGCGTGTTTCTCCGGGCCCAGGTGTTCTGGAGCTGACAGGATATGCCAAAGTCGGCAAGCTTCGGCTGGAACCTTGGAAGCTCCATCCGTCGAGTGGCGGCATGGGCGTTGAGCGTAATACATCATGCAAGTGGCACGAATTTGAGGACGCATCATCGTAACACAGTAGCAGAAGTTGCAGCACTAGCAGCAGCGTTGGCTCTGAGCGACCACCGCCACGACTGTATACACCCAATGCAATCATCATAACCAGAACCACCGGCACCAGCAAGAGCACATGCAACAGCAGCAACAGCAAGAGGAGGAGACGCAGCAGCAGCAGCACCACCACCACCACCGCCACCATCACCGCTACCACCAACAGCAAGAACAATGATGATAATGACCAACAACTTCAGAACAATAAGAAGACGACGGACAACAACAAGAGCAAAAAAACCAACCAACCAACCAACCAGCCAGCCAGCCAGCCAATCACAACCAACAATGACCAACAAGCAACGGCCAACAGCCAACAACAAGAACAATAAGAAGAACAAGAACAATGACAATAACAACAACCACAACCACAACCACAACAACAGCAGCACATCGAAGCGATGCGACAAGCAGGAGTTCCACAACGTGTGCAACAGCAAGGAAGGAACGACGCTGATCTGGAACCTCAAGCCTCGGATAAATGTCCGAGAGATCCCTCATGCAAGGAACTAGAATACAAATACGCAAAGATGCACAAAGCATGCAGATACAGTCGCGGCAAGTAAGCCGCTTTGTAGCGAGTTCTAAGAACGACGCGGAAAAACAGGGCAGCCCACGACTGTCATTCGGCCAGCTTCGCATGAACGACACTGCACAGTTGTCTCAATACAGAATGCTGTGACCAACGCCCTCTCCATACCGAGGCAACTGCTGTCCGGTGAGCAGGATGTTACCAGCCTCTTAACATGTCCACGTGCGCTCAACATCTCCCTTTGCAAGAGACGAAGCTCCGTTTGCCAGTACTTCCTAAAGCAACGGGACCGAATTTTGCTTTTGACGTAGGAGTTGTGTTTGGCATCTGCCGCCTTCGTGAAGAGGCATCACGATGCAAAGTCCGAAACAACAGCGCTTACGGAAAGCGCTGAGCCCTCGCCAGCCCGTGTCCCATGTGTTCACAAGAAGCTCATAAGTCTCGACCCGATTATTCGGTGTAGCAGCTGTGAACATGCACGAAAGTCAACAGTTTCGGGGCCGTGATCTATCACTGCTCTAATTACTTCCATGACAACTCTCATGGTTACAATACCATTTCCAACGTGAAACTCTAGGGTGGACCTGACAAAGAAACACAGTGTAAGTGGGCTGGAACGAGACATCATCCTTAGTCTGCACCAATAGCCCAGTGGTCGTTCGACCAAGATCATCGCGGCTGACATGGTGTTGGCGACGACGATGATGATGCTGATGCTGATGATGCCATGGTTATGGTGATGACGATGTTGAGGATAGCACCGGTGGTGGGTTATGACAATGATGCTAGTGGTACAGTAGGATCTCCGGCTATATTTCTGATGGTGTTCATGGCTGTGTAGTGCTATGCTGCTGTAATCACAGGCTGGGACCCTCAGAAATCCACAAACTCCGGGCCTTGACGTCGCGGTGAATCTTCCTCAGGGTCGGGCTAAGGGCTTGTGGCAGTTTATGCTGTTGGGTTTGCGGTGAAGCAGTTAGCGTCAGTCAAGGTCAGCGTAGGGGCGGCTGGTCCACCAAAGAGGCTTCGGTGATGTATATGAATATGTTTCTGGCTGTTGGCGAACAGTGCAACAGTACCCGAACCCAGTACGAATGGAACGCTTCATTCCCCTGCTCGGCTAATTTGGCTGGCTGAAAACCTAATACCACAAAGTTACAAGATCTCCCAGGAGCCAAAGGCCTGAATCCTGATTATTAAATATCAGTGTTCCAAAAGCATTCCGAATGTGTTCCAGAGAAGCGTGGGGAATAGTGTTCCAGATTTCGAAAGTGTTCCGAAAAGCATTCCGAGAGAGCACCCTCGAATCTGAAAGCTTCCGGCTGGAAACACATCTTGGAACACTTTTTGGAATACTTTTCAGCAGCAGGTCATTGGCGGAACGCTTTTTTGAGAACACCTTTTGGAATGCTTTCTGGAATGCCTTTTCGGGAGCCCGTCCTCTCCAGATCCAGGTCACAAGCATTCCAAAAAGCGTTCCAAAAAAGTGTTCCGTAAAGCGCTCCTGTGGAATGCTTTTTGGAAGACTTTTTGGTCAGAGGGTCCCCATGGAACACATTTTGGAATACTTTTCAGCTCTGCATCAAAATCAGAATGCTTTCCAAACGTTTTTCAGGAATGCTTCTGGAATGCTTCTTGGAACACTATAAAAACCGATCTAGTTAGCGCCTCTACGTCGGAATCCATCCCGGCTAAGCGGTGTTACCCACCGCCATACAGTTGCTTCACCAGCTTCTCCACGTGCTCTGCCAAGGCCTTGTCCAGGCTGCAAGCCCCCGAGCAGTCGATGCACTGCCACTGAAGCCGAGACCTCGTCGCGAAGGCTTCTGGGCTCCAGTTCGTCATCGACTTGGCCCAAGAGGGCAGGCGGGCGAGGAGCCGCTTCTGCAGCGCTGGGCTTGTTCTGTCGCATGTGCGCATGAAGTCCACGACCAGCACATTGGGGGACCAGAACCCGAGGCCCCAGGCGGCGAGCCCAACTGTGGGGATATCATGCGTGGACAGCACGGACTCTGACAAGTTGCGCTCGCCCGTAATCTGCTTGTTGACCAGGGCGAGGACCGTTCCCTGTGCCCTGTCGTGCATCCCAAGCACGAAGCTCGATGCTTGCGATGGACCACATGTTCGCTGCAAGCGCACTCCACGGCTTGTTCAAGAGCATGCAGCTAAACGTGGGTGATGTCAGTTCCGAATCGCTGGGATTGTCTGCAACAGCAGAACCCACATCGAAATCCTAGACACTTGCGCACCGGATGTTGCATCTCGCATTTGCATGACAGAAGCAGTGATTCATCGATGGCTCTGGCTGTTCGAAACTGTTCCAGGCGCGCTTAGCGGATCCTTGAGACCTGCTCTCCTAAGCTCAATGTTGCAATCGCGATTTCCGCTCCTGGCGTCAAGCCGCGACAATGCCCATTGTCCGATACTCTGACTAGTAAGATTCTGATGATGACTCCTCTTGCCCTTATCAGTTGGAATGCTAAGACTTAGCATGCCAACCGATAAGAGCAAGAGGCTTCATCAGCAGAATCGCTTTGCTACCTCGACAACTCTTCCTGAGGCCACCGCTTCGTGTCATGCAGGTACTGGAGACCGCGCAACACCTTCTCAAACTTTGAGGGCTGTGGTTTCAGGCTTCTCAGTCTACATAACCAGACACTAGTAGCCAATGCTGACCGCCAGCTAGGACACTGCTGGCTTTGTTGAAGACGGCATCGGACAAGAAAGTCTGTCCTCTAGACTTGCCAGATTTGGAGATTACCAGCTAAGGAAGTCAGGAAGCACCCCTAGACGCACCCAATCCAGCTACATGGGATCCCCAAAGCCATCGGAAACGGTCACTGTATCCATTTGCCTTGTGACGGTTTCGCAAATATATTTGGATGAGCAATGCCCCACGAATACCTACCCCAAACCGTCTCCGGCGGCAGTTCCATTTCAGCTTTTCGCGCTCACGACAGGGCCGTCTGAGGGATGGTCTAGTAAAATAGATGTGGAGAAGCACGCCACAGATGCGGCTCTCGGCGTTCAACGGGTGCCGCTCGTGTCAGGCTGCACTGAGCGAGGGCAGGGCTGCCTTGAGCTAAGGCAGTCGCGAGGTACCAATGCTCCGCACTGGGAGACACTGCAAGATGGTGCATGGCCTCTCGAAAGCTACTTGTAGACTTCAGAGACTGCGTTCGGTACCACAGCTGCAGTGAACCGGCTCTGTGCGATGCGACCGAGACCAGCTCTTCTTCCTCACCCAACAGTCACCCGAAGAACGGCCCGTGCGAAGGGAGGCTGTGCTCCAGTTCGCATGAGACATGAAATCACAAATTAACTGCGCTATGCCTGGGTCCCTCTTGCAGAAGGTAAGAGGTAGGTTGCACACACAACTCAAAACGGCAACAACGTGTGTATCACCTGGCCTCACGACATGATCCAGGCATTGCCAGCTCAAGAGCAAAAAAGATCAATCAGGCTCTTCCTTCGCCTCGTCGAACAATTTGTTGCTAGCCACATGAGGACTTCTTGCGGAGACATATCCTCACACGGGGACCTGGCCAAGAGGCTCCAATCTAAACATCACCGGTGTTGTGGTCTGAACAGTTCTCAAAGCAAGCACTGAAAATAGCGGATGTGATGTGCTACTGCATCGAATATCTCACACGAGAAACAAACTCCTGCGGCAAGGAAGTGCCTCGTGTCTGCCGAAGGCAGACAGCTAGGCATTGCAAACCATGGGTGGCAAGACGCAAGTAGGATTAAGCTCTGCTGTCATTCTCCTGCTGTCTAAGCCACTCGCTGCGTGTCGCTACCTTCTCCAGGCTGGAGTCCACGACTTTGAAATTCCAATCTATTCGGACGCTTCGAACTCTACCCCGGTGCCAGTTCGAACCATGTTATCTGCTAATTCTGCTCCCAGATACTGCTATCATTGCATCATAAGTTGGCTCAGGGCATGGCCATCAGGACTCTAGGGCGGTAGGGCGGTAGGCGACTTGCAGCACAATTCCAAAGAATTCTGACAGTCGAGACGCTGTGCGGTGCTGTCGAGCTGAGCGGTGGACGATGTCGAGCACAACATGTTCTAGATTTCTTCTTCACATCCGTGTAGTCCAACCATGGAAGAATCAGGAGCGACCCACATCGCTCCGGGACACTGGTGACTTTGCTGGGGGAGTGTATTTCACCGTCAGAGCGGGCTTCGAACGACTACCAAGCCTCGAAGTTTTTCACTGAATACTCTCCACCCCTGAGACAGCAGCCTTCAACCTGAGAAGGGCAAAGATTGCAAAGCTTGGATGAAAGTTTTGGAATGAAACACAGCCAGAGGCTCACAGGCTTATCGCATCTCGACTCTCTCCCGGCTCACAGTCCAACCGCAGGCGCCACGATTGAAACAGTCGACCAAGACCCCTCAAGTAAGGAATCACCCCTTGTCGATTTGCTGCTGTTGACAGGCGTATTCCTCAATTAAAACGGATCTTGGGCTGTCTGGCCACAGGCCTGTCCAATGTGTCGCCCTTAGGTGCTGCATCCAGAGTAGACCCTCTGGATCAGCGGGGAGGGCCGAGGTCGGTAATGGTAATAATAGTAATACTAGTAATAATAGTGATAATAGTAACAATAGTAATAATAGTAATAGTAATAATAGTAATAATAGTAATAATAGTAATAATAGTAATAATAGTAATAATAGTAATAATAGTAATAATAGTAATAATAGTAATAATAGTAATAATAGTAATAATAGTAGTAATAGTAATAATAGTAGTAGTAGTAGTAGTAGTAGTAGTAGTAGTAGTAGTAGTAGTAGTAGTAGTAGTAGTAGTAGTAGTAGTAATACTAGTAATAATAGTAATAATAGTAGTAATAGTAATAATAGTAATACTAGTGGTTTTTCTGATCCTGCTCACAACCCCTCTCAAGGGTTTGGTTTTTTCAACCCGTGAAACAGCTCCTGAACTGTACCACGTTCGAGAGACAGGTTGGGTTGTGGATGGCAGCAAGTCGAATCTGTCCTTCTCCGTCTTAACTGCTATGCATGTCATCCCCAGAAGAACCGTGGAACCTCTCGACTCTCCACCGAAAGCTGTGTAGTTTAGCTCTCTCTCGCTCTTTCTCTCTCGATTTCCGCCCTGTAAGCTCTCCCCGCAAGCAGCTTGGCGACCCAGGGTACTTCCTGCGGCTCGATTCGAACCAAAACGATCCTAAATGTGGGGCACCGCTGGCAGGGAAGCTCTTGGGAATGATGCTCAAGGCTCTAGGATGGCGGAGTGGTAGAAAACCCAGCTCCGCCACAAGCTCACTCTCCCCTGCAGGAGATTGCGTGCCGCCACGAGAGTTCCGTGAATTTCTGTCATCTTCAGCCTCGCCTGGAGGCTTCCGGCTGTTCGTAGCATGGTGTTGACTAGTAGTGTCGCATGCGATACACGCAGCCAAAATTCGACGCGATGGGGTCCAGGATTCCACTTTTCTGGCTGCTTTAGAAGTGCCTTCTGAGGTTCTACCCTTCTCTGTGATCGCGGGATCCTCTGACCACTCTGCAATCCTATCGGAGCTGACGAGCTCTCTTGGTCTGGCCATCAGGCATCGCTAGCCGTGGATGTATCGGCTCCTCCTTCTCCTGAGCCTTGCCTCACCAAAGAAACACTTTCAAAGCCGACGGGCACACATGCTGCTAAAGCCAGTGCTCAGGATTGGAGAAAGCAACGTTTCGCGAATGCCTGGGGGTACAGCCACTGACGATAGCCCCGCGACGCGCAGGGCTGCACAGGCTGGGAATTCCATGAGCTGCTGCCCTGAGTTGATGATGACACTGTTTCCCCTTCTTAGGTCCTATGTACCCTCCGACCGGAGATCGAACTAGAGATTTCTTTTGATACTATGGGCGACAGCAGCCATCGATCCGCCGCGAATTGCACAGTACTAGGCTCGCATGTGTCAGGGGAGGCCCATCTGTGCAGAGGCATAAAAGCCCAAAAAAAACTACGCCGTGTGTAGCCTTAGCCTAAACTCTCAAGATTCAGTACAGCATCCTAGCCCAGAGCATGGAAATAATTCCAGGCGCTGTGCGCGAAACCGCCCCTCATGTCGTACCCTAAATAGTCGGTAGGTACCCCTATTTTCGGTAACCCCCATATCAATGGACTTTAGATTCCAACTCTGCTAGTTGCCAGATCTCCTCTGCCAAACGGATCTGAGTCTAAGCTTGCCGAGTTATAGTACACAAGCAGCATAATGAGGAACTTCAATGAGTAATACTGGAAGAGTATTCAGACTTCGATATTCAGGAACCAAGAGGCTATTAAAGCAAAGCTTTCTGATCCTTGTAGTCTTCTCCTTGATAGACTTCCATAATCCCAACCAGCCGAGATGGCAAATAAAACGGCAGCTCCCCGACACAAAGCTTCTGACGAATAGGATTTGAAAAAATGAATGATCGGGTCGTCAACCAATCTGTCTCGTGAGACCTTGGAAATCGGTATTGGGAGCGGAGGGCTCTGGAGTTCAAGATGGACCAGCACTAAATCAGATGCATGCGCTCAGCGACTGCGTCATCTACCTAGCCGTTCTGCTCGTGAAACAGCCAGACAATTGATCTAGGGCTGACTACACTGGCTCTGCAATCTATAACAAAGTACTGAACTCAGTACACAGGACCGTCTACCACTGAGGCGCATGCATTCGCAGCAGCGAAAGGTTATCCGTTGAGCATGGAGAAAGCCACTACGTCGCGTTTGACCGAAGACTGCTCCTGCCGAGGCTATCGAGCTTTTCGGGATCCCTGCTTGCAGGCTTCGAGTCTTTGGTTCGGGATGGGATGAAAGGCAACTGCACTGACCGGTACTAGTCTTCGGAACAGGATGTTGGGGTCATGCTGCAAGAACTACTTAAGCGCGTCTTGCACTGCGATGCTTGGAAGACTGAAACAGGCGTGCACACATCTGCTTCTAAGGCCAGAAACCGGCTATCAAGTCGAAAAGACGAGAGGAGAAGCTGGCTTGACATGATGTGCCACTATGCTTCACACACACACACATCCTTTAATGAATGTCACACGATTCGACACAAGCCTAAAATGCTTCGCAGGTTTTTGG